AAAAGAATAGAAAAGAACAGAACAGAACAGAACAGAATAGAATAGAATAGAATAGAATAGAACAGAACAGAACAAAAAGGAATAGAACAGAACAGAATAGAATAGAATAGAACAGAGCAGAACAGAACAGAACAGAACAGAAAAGAACAGAAAAGAAAAGAACAGAAAAGAACAGAACAGAACAGAACAGAACAGAACAGAACAGAATAGAATAGAATAGAATAGAATAGAATAGAATAGAATAGAACAGAAAAGAACAGAATAGAACAGAACAGAAAGGAATAGAATAGAATAGCTGAGCTGGATGGGACCTTGGAGGTCTTCTAGTCCAGCCCCCTGGTCAAGCAGGCGACCGTATACCATTTCAGACAAGTGGTTGTCCAGTCTCTTTTTTAAAAAAAAAAAATCTCCAGTGTTGGAGCAACCACAACTTCTGGAGGGAAGCAGTTCCACTGGTTAATTGTTCAAACTGTCAGGAAATTTCTCCTTAATTCTAGGTTGCTTCTCTCCTTTGTTAGTTTTCATCCATTGCTTCTCGCCCTGTCTTCTCTGAGGATGTGTAAAATATCAGTGTCAGGGCAAATCTATAACACAGTGGCTAAAGACTGAGCTACCAACCACAAATTCTCCAGGATTCGCCCTGACGTTCATTTAAACCCAAACTCTCATCTTTTCATTTAAAACAGTGATTTTTTTTTTGCATATGTCTAGGTTATTTTTATAGCAACAGAATGGAAATGATTTGCTGTTTCTTCTTGGGTTATTTCCCCCCCCCCCCCCAGTTTTAATGTCCATCTTACAGTCATACATAACCCAGCCTAGCCCCTCTCTCCTTCATGAAATTAGGCCAAGTTCACGGGGCTTTAAGATCAACTACAAATCCTCATCCATCCATCAAATGCACCATTTCTCAACCTTGGCAAGTTTAAGATGTGTAGATTTCAACTCCCAGAATTCCCTAGCCAGCATGCCTGGACTTCCACTCCCAGAATTCCCTAGCCAGCATTCATGGATTTTAACTCCCAGAATTCCCCAACCAGCAAGCATGGATTTCAATCCCTAGAATTCCCCAGCCAGCCATGCTTGCTGGGGAATTCTGGGAATTGAAGTCCACGCATCTTCAACTTGCCAAGGTTGAGAAACACTGATAGGGAGAGAAGGATTACCGTTAAGAACTTCTCTTTTCCCCGCCCTCCTTATAGAAAATATAGAAAGCAAATGGCTTCCAATCTTTGAGCTGTGTGGACTTCAACTCCCAGAATTCCCCAGCCGGGGTAATCTGGGAGTTGAAGTCCACCCAGCTTAAAGTTGCTGAGAAAGATTGGTCTATCATTTTGCAGAAGGCCTGGCTTAGGTGTTTGCGCAGCATCTCTTCCGCGCACCAACCCAGCCCCTTCCACCAACTTCTCTCCACATCCTTGCAGGTGTCCTGGGTGTAAACATGGAGGAACAGCTGATCAAGCTTCTTTTCACGGAGAGACAGTACGACAGGAATGTGCGCCCGGTGGTATCCAGGAACGACACCGTGAAAATCGAACTGGGTCTGACGCTTTCCAACCTGCTCTCCCTGGTAAGATCTTCCTCAGGCCTCTCTTGTCAGTTATCAACCAGCGCTGTCCATCAAGAGGGGTGGTCAAATAGATCAAACATATCCCGAAGTTGGTCAACATCACACATGTCACACATCACACACACACACACACACACACACACACACACAACACACCGTCTGCTACATCCGTAGGTTGCTTGGAGGTCCTTTTTCATTTCAGGTTTCTGCCAGTCGATTTGAAATGAAGATTTTTCTTCCTGATATCATCATCCTCTTTTAATGACCCCATAATCCCTTGTGGGGTGGAGTCTGGGAAAGTGAATGGAGCTGAGCGTTTACTGGCTGGATGCCCTTCCTGTCGCCAATGAGGAGTTTTGTTTCAGCATATATATTCTCATCCTGCCCAGAGGGGAGAAATATCTGCCTCTAGCTAGCATCGAACTCACAGCCTCCTGATTGTGAGACGAGAGCGCCTCCTCTAATGCACGGCACCACTAATTTTTCCTTCACGATATGTTTTTTACTAATTAATTATCCCTTTCACTAACAGATTAACAGATGAGTTGGAAGAGACCTTGGAGGTAGGGGTGGGATTCAGCCAGTTTGGACTGGTTTGGGCGGACTGGGTGTTAAATTTACATCCGGTTCACTGAACTGGTAGTTGAACCAACCGGCTGTCCTCTCCTCTCCCAGGAGGCCCGTTTTGGATGCAGGTAAGAGCAGGATCTGCGTGGAAGCTCTGGAAGTACCGGAAGTTTGGAAATGGGCCTGTTTCCAGCTTCTGGAGGGCCTCCAGAACAGCTAACCGGTTGGTGGGATTTTTGAATCCCACCCCTGCTTGTAGGTCATCTAGTTCAACTTCCTATGCAAGCAGGTGTCCCTACATAATTTCTAGGCCTCCTTCCCTCTTATCCAAACTGTGAGATTTGGATAAAAATAAATCAACGGACTATCATAATCCATAGGATGCTTTATTACGTAAGATACTGCATGACCGGACCCCCTAACCCCCCAAACAACCGTTTAGGAGGAAGGAGACGCTCCCTTTTAGTAGATACAGATTTCATATAGGATCTTCAAATTTAACAGATTACATCATACTTCCTGTTTTCCATACGTAGAAGTTATACAACGTTTCTCATAAGAAAGTCCCATCCTTCTATGGAAATCTCCCAACTTTCTTCACCGTTTTATCATCAGATTTCCTGTTTTCTACTTAAACGATTACACAAGAGATCATTAATATCCCTATAATGTCAAGACGACCTTCTTATTAACCCAGGCCAAGAACATACTATTTCACAACCAGACAGGACATTAGCAAAACAACAAGTTACATAACTGTTCTGATCTCTAACAGGTCACATAGGGAACAAATATGGCTTCAGTCTTGCTCTTTATATTCTTAGGTGTACAAGGCAAATTTCCATATAGAATAGAATAGAATAGAATAGAATAGAATAGAATAGAATAGAATAGAACAGATATTGGAATGAAAAAGAAGAGAAGAGAAGAGAAGAGAAGAGAAGAGAAGAGAAGAGAAGAG